ATCCCTCGGGATCCAAGTCTACAAACTGTCTTTCATAAGTTGTGACGTGAACTGACTACCCTATCACTAAGTATTTCCGATAGGAAAACCTACTCTTGCAAAAAATATCTAAAATGCTTCAGTTATGTTTTCAGTCTCGATTCTTGTAAAGCAACGGCTTCTGGATAACGTGTAGCATAATCAAACTACAGTTAATATGGTACCTATTTCCCTTTTCCGATTAACAGGCCGTTTATTGGCCCTATAATCAACCGCAATTTCTCTGGAACGGAAATGTCAATAATAGGCATGTCACCTCAAGGGGAGCTTTTGGAAGTCTAACCCCGGGGCACCGTCTTCTGACAAATATCACGGGAACGGACAAAATCAAGTTAATATCACTAAAAATACCTTTGGCCAGTTTGAAAACAGACTGATCCTGTTAAAGTTTTGCGTACAGGCAAAATGCCCACCAAACTATAGATTCATGAGCTAATGACATAAACTCTTTTGTGATTTTACTAGGAACAACTATTTTGTCTTGTTTCAGATTCCAGAATCAAACCTTTCCGGTCTTCTATAAGTTTTATACAACACATCTTTTTGTACTTTCATATTCTTAAAATTTGTTACCGCTCTTTTTGGGTTTTCATGATCTTTTTTCCCTGAGCATAATGCCAAACAACCGCTGTAAGTTTGGTCCATATTTGATTTGTTTCCCTTTCTAAGAACATTCTACCGTAATTTCGTTTATCTTTCGATCGGAACTTTAAGAAAGGTTTCATTGCTTTCTTCTCTTTTTCTCCTGTGCCCTCTCCTAACAACAGCAGCTATGTTTTGTTACTTCTCGGCTAATCCCCACCTTCTCATTGGGTTATAAGGTAAACCCGAATATTGCCCAACTAAGTCACAAATTGCTGAACTCTAAAAACCATGGCGTTCTATTTTACCCTTATAAAAGGTGTATCAAATGTCTATTTTTGGGCAATAGGTACCAACCGGCCGACCATCTATTGCTATCCGCATGACACAATTTTTATTAAAGCATTTGATCTTCTTCCACTAATTCTTTCTAACTACTGCTAACTCGCCCAACCAGGTGTCTCTAAGAACCTTACACTCTCTTATTGCGCAATATAATCCTAGTTTCAGATCCCGTTGACGTTCATCTTTCTAATGATTCAATTTGTACAAGCTAACTTGTAAATGACAGGCACAGAATTTGTCCATTGGCTAAAATTTAAGTTTTCTTCAAATTTACAACACATCAATAAAGAACTTGTTGGAGAAATTTGACATACATAAACCCGATTAATTTCTTATTACTGGGGCCCACGTTATTTCTCCAGGCCTACTACCCAAGTTCCTTGCTGGAAGAAACCCGATTTTGTTTTAAAGTAATTTCCATTTTGCTCTCCATATGACATTGCAGCAGCCCCATATCTTTTCGTAGTCTGATCTCGACAATCTCTGGCCACAATGACCCCTCTCTATTTACATATGAAAGCATGTACTTTTTTCTATTTCTCTGTGATAGTGGGCTGTTTAGTTTCGATAGATTTTATCCTTGATTAAAAGGCGTATTGGTCGATTTATTTGAAAAAAAAATGGCAAACTTTTGAGCTTTTAACATATTTTGTAATTTGTTCCGCCATGAGCCTCTAAGTATTTGTCAGCCAAAGAATGACATCTCTAACGGGATCTTTAGCTTTCCTTAAGGGAAAAAGAAGCTAGCTTCTGGTTTGAACAAACCCTTTGACAAATTTTTTGGTCTCTAATAATAAGAAATCTTTCATTTTTTTATCTACTGGGGTATCCGGCAGCGTCAAAGCCCTTTCTGTCCATCGCTAAAAGGTAACGGTATCTAAAGCGAGCCATAAAATTGGTTTTACGTCTTCCCCTTGTTTGGGCTTAACTCTTCTAAATTTTTTTCTGAAACCGTTCTTCTGTTAATTGGTAATCTTTGAAAAAACTGCTGTTTTTAAATTCTTGGAATAGTCTGATGGGCTTGCTCCGGGAGGCAAATTCGTAGTGGTAAAACTTCAAAGACGTTTCCCGTTAAATAAAGAAAATTAAGCTTATTGCCCATGTATCTTCTTTCCAAATCCTTGATTATGGAGAACCTTTCAAAACGCTTCTATACAGTATATGCACTTTGTCTTTTTGGGACTCTTCAAAAATTAGGCAATTTCTTGGGAACCAAACCGGTTGTTAAAGGGAAGTTTATCAAGGGGGCGCTCCCCACCCGATTTTTTAACTTTTTCATCAATTTCCTATTTTTTGGCTCTTTCATTTTTCATCTCTACTTCAGTTTGAAATAAACGGTTTTTTTTTCCGTCACGTATTCGGCTTTTTTTTTAGACGCTCGGCCCTCAAAAACGGCCGTCGTCTTCCTCACGTTCAGCTTCTTTTGTTTACGGTCGGCCTCAAATCGCCGTTTTTTTTTCACGTCCCCTAATTTTCGTTTCTATTTTATTCAACGGATATTCTGATTCACCCGTCTTCAAACCCCAAGCCTCTCTCCCAATGAAATACCCATTTAATATAATCCATAATTGCTTAATAATGGATTACTAATAAAAAAAAAATAAACTTTTTTTACGAAACCCTAAAGGGGTAAACTTATTACTCAACAAAATGGTTGTTACCTCTTTAGCACCGGGACAATCGGTTATTCCCAAATCTTTAATCTCTATATAACAATGGCTACACTTAAAAAATTGTGTTAAACTTTGATAAATTAATATTTGACAATTGTTTATGCCAGGAAATTCCAACTTAAAAGAGAATATCCCGGACGAGCCCCAAATTGTCAGGAGAAGATGTCTGCCTTTGATGTTATTTAATCTAAGGAAAGATTCAGTAAATAAATACTGGAACCAATTTCAAAGCTATGGGGGTTGGGCAGCACGCGCCTGACATAAAAGTGAAATATTCTCAGTTGGAAACTAGCATGTAATTGTTTAGTTAACACTTTTTAGGTATTTTTATATTTTTTCTATCTCAAATCAATATATACATTTAAACAACAAACTCCGACTATTATTTACGCACAAAAAAAAGAACTTTTGATCATTATTTTTACACCCAAAACAAACACAGATCATTTATCAGCCACTTATACGAATATCTTTCAACGTATACGTCTTTTAATACGAAACAATACTAGACACCTGGCGAGCCCAAGCTCTAATCAAAAAAACAATAAAATCACCACAAAAATGAAGAACACGAAATGATATTTTTTACACTCTAAGATGCAGTATAAACCAACAAAACATTCATTCAACAATATTAACTTCACACAATCAAATCTGCATCAGAAAAAGCAAAACTATAAGCACCCAATTTATTTACATTATATCCTCAAAGACAAAGCATCAACTAATATAAATCTTGAATGCAGACAACACATTCAACCAATATCAACCAATTATATCTTCACAAACAGATATAACTCAACAACCAAAACAACTAATAAACCCTGATCAATTAAGATCACCACAATTATATTCAACCACTTCAACAAACGAACAAAACTCCCTACAAAACAACAAAATGGGAGAGTTTCTAGATAATCCAGCAGAGTTATCTCTGCAGCGCCCCTAACAAATAAACCTGTATGCTGGCTATCTCTGTGTATAGCTGGTTTACATTGAATTTCAATGGGAGTATGTAATCAACTGATCTATTAATTAATAAGCTAAAGTCTATATTTCAAAGTAAACTCATTAACACTGCAGTCTTAGAAATGGTGAATTACTGTTGTGTTCCACTTTGTAATGGGTTTGGAGGGTTTCATTTTCAACAAGACAAATGATTAAAGAACAAATGGAGAGTAGCAGTAAAGAAGTAAAATGAAGTTATGGTCTCGCACATTTGCCATGCCAATAATGATCAAAATGTGGCTTCCAGAACTTTATAAGCCGCTATTTAACATTTTTGTTTTTCATCTGATGTGGTATCTGATCTGTTCATGCCTTATCATAGTATATGAACGGGTTAGCTGAAGACCTTAAGTTGAATTCTAGATATAAGTTCTAAATTCTAGATAAATTCTTAAGCTGACAAAATTGAAAAAGAAACCAATGTTTGGCAATTCTATTCAAAATTCGCTTGTTAAAACCTGGAAAGAATGTTCGTGCATGTCGGTCGTGCATACAGAAAATGTGTCAGGTATCAGTCCGAGTTGCATAATCTTATCGATCAGTCAAGCTCATTTTTATTTTTCTCCATTATGCATATATTGGTCTCATTGGCCTCCCGTGCATCAAAATTGTATCATCACAAAAATCGACTTGCATACATATTTAGTATCATTCAATGAATTACTGAATTCAAAATTTATAGGTCACCTTTTGGTAAATAGTAACATTTAAGGACATGAATGGTGACATGTCCGGGGTCCGTACTCTCAGTACCTGAAAGGGCGGATGGACCCTCATTAAGCCTAGAATACATACATTCACATTAATCTATCAAATTGTCATAACAATTAATAATAATAATAATCACCCCTTGATCATCAAGAACAAAATTACTATATAAAATATATTTTATATACTAGTAGAAATAGTAATTTTCTTGTTGCCTGTAGTCAGAGACAGTCTAAATTTCTGTCATACGTCTCCAATCTGTAAAAATTATATAACTAGATGCCTTTTATTTACTAAAGAATAAACTTGAAACAATAAACACTATATCTAAAAAAATGATAATATATATTAAGCTAGGTATAATATAGGTATGTCGTACTTTAGAGCTATTATTGATTATTGAATTTCAAGCTCCTGTGCAAGGAACAAATAGATATTACTATTATATGATTGTGATGCATTTTAAGATGACGTTGTTCGCATGAATTGTATTTTAAAGAAGTAAAGACCATTAAATTATCAAAGCAAAACTGTTTTTTTTTCATCATATAACTACTTCAGGTAAAACATTTTATTTTGAGTCATTCCTTAGAGGAAACGAATAAATTGAACGTGTTATGTTATATATTTATATAAATCTGTTAATCATCATCATCATCACTATTACGAGTACATGTACTTTTATCATATTAACCAACACCTCAAAAACAAAACACTTAAAAAAGAGCATTCCTTTTAAAAACTTACTTCAATGAAAATGCAAGGTTAATAAAACGCTGTTGCTTAATTTTCGTTTCAGATCGCAGCTTTGATTTTCACCTGAACTCTCGAAATCCTGATTCTTTAAAAAGGGAACTTGAAACAAGCAAAGCAGAAAGGATTTATGTTATTGGTACGTTTCAAATCAAACCATGAATTTCCAGCTAATTACATTATAAATTTAATCAGCAGAATAGCGAATCTGGCCATGTTACGACAGTTAAAGAAATGCACGATTTTTGCCACTATCACAGTGTTAGTATTTGTAATATTTACAAATTCATTGCTGTATTTGGAGCGATATCAGACTGAATATTTCCATCTGGACACGGATGCTTATTTTGAAGATGCTAAAGATTTAAAGTACCCTGTCAAAGTACAGCCGTATTTGTTCCGACTTATAAATGCGTCTAATCCGAGTGTTCCATTAACCATAAGTGCGCCTTATGTTATTGAGAACCGTCATCGTTGCCGTTCTGTGAAGAATCTTACGATGATTGTTGTAGTTAATTCAGCGACAGACCATTTTGAACAGAGACAGAGTATAAGAGCAACTTGGACAAACGACACGTATTACTCGTATTTAGCAACAGTCAGAGTTGTGTTTCTTGTCGGCAGAACTGTGAGTCACGTTGTCCAATCTGCGCTTGAAATGGAGTTCGAAAAGTATAAGGATATTGTACAAGGAGATTTTATAGATTCCTACACCAACCTTACACATAAAGGTGTGATGGGTTTTAAATGGATTACGGAGAGATGTCGCAATGCGGAGATGATTCTGAAAGTTGATGACGACATTGTAGTCAATATGTTTCTGTATCTCTATAAATTAAAACATTCTAAAGCGCTACAAAAGGCAAACGTATATTGTGAATACAAATCCGAGCCTATAAACAGAGATTTTACATCAAAATGGTATGTTGATGAAAGTCATTTCAAAGGAGTAAAAAGATATCTGAAATTTTGCAAAGGAAAGTTTGTGAGTATGACGAATGATATAATGCCATCTTTATATCTATCCGCCTCGAAGTCGCCGTTTTTTCATATCGATGACGTTTTGTTGTTTGGATATGTCCTGCATAAGGTTCCAGGATTGAAGTATGAAACGTTCAGTGACAGTGATTGGCAGGAGATAACTAATGAAGCAAAACACTGTTTAGATACCAAAAAAGAAAAATGTACATACATTGCCATGCAGGCCGGTTACAAGGAGGACGTGTTAAATATTTGGTCGAAAGTAGTCAAACACTTTAAACGTAGTTTTAAAGATAAATCATAGCCACAACAAAAGTGAATAATAGTTCTACTACTTTTATCATTCATTAGAATATCCTATTTTTAAAAAAATATTAATTTAAGCCTAAAATACACAAATAAGACGTGTGAAGATAAACAAGTTTAACAATTAAATATTTTATCAATATGTGTTTGTTTTACGATGTCAAGAATTTCTAATGACGTTCGTTTATTTAAATCAAACTGTTTGTATTTTTAAGCTATTGTAGAAATCTACGCTTTTAATGAATAAAATGTTTTAAGCAATCTACTTGAATATTGCGCGTTTGAGACAAGTTCATTTGTTATACATGTTTTTACGATAACGTAACATAAAAATTTAAACCAGATAATTTTTGGGAAGTATGTCTAATATCTCAACACTCAAAAAATAAATCACAAGGAGGTATTTTAAATTGACAACACATGTCTGTTAAACGTTAAAGGGACTCCACGGGAGATAATGACATATTTCTAGAGATAAAATTTATCGAGATCGAGAAGTTGTGTATAAAATTTCAGATCATTCGCTACCTCCGTTTCTTTCCAGAATAATTTGTAAAAAATGAACCAAAATTGAAAAGCGTTGCAACGCTTTTCACTAAAATTTGGCTAAGAATAGAACAAAAATACGATTTTCATATTTTTTCCGAGTATATTTCTTAAGTATTTTTTTCGCATGTCTTTCTATTTTAAGTGCCCGAAATGATCTATGTACGAAATTTAAATTATGTTTTTACGATTTTTGACCTCAGTGGAGTTCCTTTAACTTGTTCATGTAATTAAACATTTTCTTCTTAAAATATAAACACAAAATCATCTGTTATTAATGCTGAAGCTTTCACAATGGTTTACAGAAGTTTTGATGGTAATTTATCATAATTGTGATGTATTTCAGTGCAAAACAATTCAGAATCTTCTATTACCATTTACCAGCTTTACCAATTGTTTGGCTTATATTTGTCTGCATATTACATTTTTTAAAGGGAGCTTTTTCGGAATAATTTTCTGGTTACTAAAATATATAGTAATAAATTCATTTACCTAACGTATCTATGAAATACAATTATAAACACACTAGGTAAGGCAAATTTTATTCTTTACCCCCTGTATTTGATACGTTTGGAAGACGTGTTTGTTTTACAAATATAGCTTGAGATAGTTATAAAGAAAACTTAAATGATTTAACAAACAATAGATGGTGATAATTTCTCAAATTCTTCATCTATAATAAATGAAAGGTTACCATACTTATGGACTGTGTCATTGAAACACATTATTTAATTATTTAAATGTAAGAGGATACATAAAGTACTTAACAACCCAACAATCTTTCCTATAAACGAAATCCAATCGCTTTATCAGTCCGCCTAATCAATTTGCACAACTATCCATATTGTTATAAATCAGTTTAACGTTATAAATCTCCTATTACTTGGCTATAATAGATTCGAAATCTTAGTACTTTGTCATACAAGAGGGCCATGATGGCCCTGAAGTCGCTCACCTGTATATAGGCCCCTGGAGCGGGGCCAGTTTAAACCCCAGGGTTTTTATTTGAACAAACTTGGTAGACACCTATTACAAAATATTTCATGCTTAACATCTAAGGTCTAGCTGGTCAAGATTTTTTCTTTACACATATAGTTTAAAACAATGACACACCTGGGGCAGGGCCAGTTTTGACCAAAGGGTTTTTATTTGAACAATCTTTGTAGACACTTACTAGAAAATGTTTCATGCTTAATATCTAAACTCTAGCTATTCGGGTTTTTTCAAAGAAGACTTTTAAGTTTTTGCTATACACATATAAGGAAAATCAATGTCAGCCGGGGTGGGGCCAATTTTGACCCCAGGGCTTTTATTTGAACAAACTTTGTAGACACACACTAGAAAATGCTTCGTGCTTAATATCTAAACTCTAGCTATTTGAGTTTTTTTCAAAGAAGATCTTTTAAAGATTTTGTATAACACTTATAAGGAAAAGGAATGACCCCTGGGACGGGGCCTATTTTGACCCCAGGGCTTTTATTTGAACAAACTTGGTGAACACTCGCTAGAAGATGTTTCATGCTTAGTATCTAAACTCTAGCTATTTGGTTTTTTTCAAAGAAGATTTTTCAACTTTTTGCTATACACATATAAGGAAAATCAATGACCCCCGGGGCGGGGACAATTTTGACCCCACGGCTCTTATTTGAACAAACTCGGTAAACATCCATTAGAACATGTTTCATGCTAAATATCTTAGCTCTAGCTCTTTGGGTTATTTAAAAGAAGATTCTTCAAGTTTTTACTATATGCATATAGGGAAAATCAATGACCCCCTGGGGCGGGGCAAATTTTGACCCCAGGGCTTTTATTTGAAAAATCTTGGTAGACACCCATTAGAAGATGTTTCATGCTAAATATCTTAGCTCTAGCTCTTTGGGTTCTTTAAAAGAATTTTTTTTTAAGTTTTTACTATATGCATATAGGGAAAATCAATGACCCCCTGGGGCGGGGCCAATTTTGACCCCGGGGCTTTTATTTTAACAAACTTGGTAGACACTCATTAGAAGATGTTTCATGCTTAATATCTTAGCTCTAGCTCTTTTGGTTCTTTAAAAGAAGATTTTTTTTAAGTTTTTACTATATGCATATAGGGAAAATCAATGACCCCCTGGGGCGGGGCCAATTTTGATCCCAGGGCTTTTATTTGAAAAAATCTTGGTAGACACTCACTAGAAGATGTTTCATGCCAAATATCTAAGCTCTAGCTCTTTGGGATTTTTAGAAGAAGATGTTTAACGTTTTTTTCTTTTGGTTGCCATGGCAACCAGAGTTCTGCATGGAATGGAATTCTTTGAACAACTTTGTTAAGGCTTCACACAAGGAACATCCCTGTGAAGTTTCATTATGATCTGTCTTATGGTTTCAGAGGAGATGTCGTTTGAAAAGTGTGAACGGACAACGGACTACGGACGACGTACGACGGACGACAGACGACGGACGAAGAGTGATCCTAATAGCTCACCATGAGCATATGCTCAGGTGAGCTAAAAACTATCAAAGAAGAACAAATATATATATCGACATTACATACAGAAGATGAAGAAAGCTTCCGACTTTATGTGAACTAATAGTAATAATTTATGAAATATAAAGATTTTTCACGGGGTATCATTGCGCTTTTATTCTCTAGAATTTAGCACATGGATGTGGGCAATTCCGACAGCAGCAATTGATGTACAGTAAATAAAATCTAGATTTTGACGACGCTTTTTCACCTTCGTCAATTTTAATGAAATTTTAACAACTCGGGTAATGCAAGAAAGTTATATTCATCTTACAGATATAATCTATGTACTCTAGAATGATTTTGTACATCAGCGAGCGCTTTAATCACAAGCATCGATGTCATCTTCAATAAAAGCAGATTCCTGTTTGGTGCCGTATCCAATAACTTTACCAAAAGTGAATTAATCCAAAAGCAAACCCACAAAAGTAATAGCTACACATGCTGACTCACATTCCTGTAAAGTTTCATGACTACAGGTCAAATACATATTTGGCTACGCACGACACAAGTTGAAAATTGCAATTATTTACTAAGTCAAGGGAAATAACTCTACGAATAGTGAATAAATACACAAGCAAACCCACAAGTGCACAACTACACCATGTACACATGCTGGCCAACATTTCTGTAAAGTTTCATGACTTTATGTTAAATGTTTGAGCTACGCTCGACACAATCTGAAAATTGCAAATTAACTCTACAAATAATGAATGAATCTTCAAGCAAAAGCCAAGGTACACAACAACACAAACTGACCAACATCACTGTAAAGTTTCATGACTCCAGGTCCAAAACCGTTTTGGACTAAGCGCGACAAAAGTTGAAAATGGCATTTTTCCTATATCTGGGGCAATAACTACAAATACTGAACAAATCCATAAGCAAACCCTCAGGTACACAACTATTCATACTGAGCAACATACCTGTAAAATGCCATGACTCTAGAATTGCAAAATTTTAACGGGTCAAGGGCAACAACTGACAAAACTGAATTAATTCACACGCGAACCCCAAGGTGCACATCAACATTCTTGTAAAGTTTGTTGACTTTAGCTCAAGCACTTTTAGAGCTACTTGTGACACAACATGGGAACACGCGAATGCAAGCAAGGACGTAAGGCAAATCTAAATGCTCCATAAAAAAGGAGCATTACTTGAACAGAAGTCACTCGGAGATATAGAAACTGTACCATCAATTCAGATAATCAAAAAGAGCGAGTGTGTGAAATTCAATGCATTCCCTTTAGTAGTTTCGGAGATACATCTTGCATGCAGAAACTTAACCACAGTGTGACACCGACGCCAGAGAGAGAGAGAGAGAGTAAAATAGCCTTCTGAGGGAAGTCAATGATTGGTATGGCAGTCACTGGTTTCTATGGAAAATCAATGATTTCTGTTGAAGCCACAGGTTGCTATGAGAGTAAGTGGTTTCTATGGAAATCACTGATTGCTAAGTGAAGTCAATAATTGCTATGGAAGTCATGGATTCTTTACGGAAAAGGTTGTTAAGGGGAATCAATGGTTCTTAAGGAAAGTAAATGGTTGCTATGGAAGTCACTGGTTGAAAACGAAAGTGAATAATTACAATGAAAGTCACTCGCTGCAACAGGAAGTTCTTTGATGCTTAGGGAAGTCAAACGTTGCGAAGAAGGTGTGCACCGGTCGCTAAGAAAAGCCAATGTTTGCTATACACAAAAGGTCAAACTATTATCACCAAAGGCAGCGCCATTTGCTATAATTTGAACAAAAGCTATGTCAACATGGCCACCCCCTCCGAAAGTGTTTCCGCATTGGAAGAATTTATATGTAGTATAGCAGAATAATTCAATTTTAAGAGGTATTTTGGTAATGAAAACTGATGGCTGAAGTGATAACAAATTCGAAACCTATGTGAATACTGATGGCTGAAAATAACAAAGGACAATAACTGAAAAATAATGCAGGGTAGGTTATCATTCTTATGTGCTGCACCCCTCCTCTGTAAAATATATCCACCTATGAAGTTTCAAGTTGATACCTCAAATACTTTTTGAGATAAGCTCCAGACAAAAAGTATGAAAAAGACCAAAGGGCAATAACTCAAAAATTATATAGGGAAGAGTTATCATTCTTGTGCACAACATTCCTCCTCAATAAGATCTATCCACCTATGACATCTCATGTTGACATCTCAGACACTTTTGAGTTATGCTCCACTCAGGTGCTAAAATTAAGTATGAAAAATAACAAAGGGCAATAATTAAAAAAATATGAAAGGTAGATTTATCATTCTTATGCACTGCACATCTCCTGAGTAAGATCTATGCACCTATGAAGTTTCATGTTGATATCTCAAAGGCCTTTTGAGTTATGCTCTGGACAAAAATTAATTTTGAAAATAACAAAGGGCAAAAACTCAAAAATTATGCAGGGTAGAGTTATCATTCTTGTGCACTGCACTCCTCCTCAATGAGATCCATCCACCTATGAACTTTCAAGTTGATACCTAAAATACTTTTTGAGAGAAGCTCCCGACAAAATAGTATGACAAAAAACAAAGGGCAATAACTCAAAAATTGTATAGGGAAGAGTTATCATTCTTGTGCACAGCATTCCTCCCCGATAAGATCTATCCACCTATGACATTTCATGTTGACATCTCAAACACGTTTTAGTTATGCTCCACTCAGGTGAAAAATTAAGTATGAAAAATAACAAAGGGCAATAATTAAACTAGAAATGTGTCATCATGTCACGGATGCCCCCGCATGTAGCCAAAATTTCAAATGTAATAATATTTAGTTCCAAATTTGTTTGCACAAATTATTTTTTTCATTCTAAGTTCAAAGCCCTTAAAACTTTTCAATGTTAACACAAACCATTTTTATACAATGTTCAAGGCACTGAAATTTTTCAGTTTTAACCTTTTGAAAATAGCATATTGCATATTTGTCGCCAAAATAATGGCTATATACATTTCCACAAAAGTATGAGTGCTGAAACTGAAAGTTCAAAATTTTTCCAACATTCAGGAAAGATAACTTTGACGAAAATCATTGAACCACGACCAAATTCAAACTTAAACTGCTTATTCCTAAGATGTATCTATAGTATTTTCAAAGTGAAAGGGACATAACTCTGCCAAAAAATCATTGAACCATGACCAAATTCCAACTTGACCTGTGCATTCCTTTGACAATTTTGAGTTGAATATGTAACACTGTTGGCTTGGTAATGAACAGAAACTGTAAATTTCATATCATTTTCAAAGTGAAATGGGCATTACTCTGCCAAAAATCATTGAACCATGACCAAATTCGAACTTGGCCTGCACATTCCAAAAACATATCCATATGTCAAATTTGAGTTGAATGTGTAATACTGTTGGGGAGATAATAAAAGGAAACTGAAAATTTCATATTATTTTTAAAGTGAAAGGGGCATAACTCTGCCAAAAATCATCGACCCATGACCAAATTTGAACTTGACCTGCGCATTCCCTTGACGTATCCATATGTCAAATTTGAGTTGAATGTGTAATACTGTTGGGGAGATAATAAATGGAAACTGAAAATTTCATATTATTTTCAAAGTAAAAGGGGCATAACTCTGCCAAAAATCATCGAACCATCCCAATTTCGAACTTGACCTGTATTTTCTCATGACATATCCATATGTCAAGTTTGAGTTCAAAGTGTTGTACCATAGGGGAGTTAATAAACAGAAACTGAATATTTCATATTATTTTCAAAGTGAAAGGGGCATAACTCTGCCAAAAATCATCGAACCATGACCAAATTTGAACTTGACCTGCGCATTTCTTTGACGTTCCATACGTCAAGTTTGAGTTGAATGTGTAATACTGTTGGGGAGATAATAAATGGAAACTGAAAATTTCATATTATTTTCAAAGTAAAAGGGGCATAACATTGCCAAGAATCATCGAACCATGACCAATTTTGAACTTGACCTGTATTTTCTCATGACATATCCATATGTCAAGTTTGAGTTGAATGTGTTGTACCGTTAGGGAGATTATGAACAGAAACTGAAAATTTGATATTATTTTCAAAGTGAAAGGGGCACAAGTCTGCCAAAAATCATCGAACCATGACCAAATTTGAACTTGACTGTGCATTCCTTTGAGATATCCATATGTCAAGTTTGAGTTGAATGTGTTGTACCATTGGGGAGTAAATGAACGGAAACTTAAAATTTCATATTATTTTCAAAGTAAAAGGGGCATAACTCTGCAAAAAATCATTGAACCATGACCAAAAAGAACTTGTCCTGTATTTTCTCATGACATATCCATCCTGTATTTTCTCATGACATATCCATATGTCAAGTTTGAGTTGAATAAGTTGTACTGTTAGGGAGTTAATGAACAGAAACTGAAAATGTCATATTATTTTCAAAGTAAAAGGGGCATAACTCCACTGGACAATGTTTTATACAAAATATCTAAATCACAGCCTTTGACGATTAAGAATATTTTTTACACAATATAAGTTTTTACACAATATAAACCTGTACAATGAAAACCCAAAGGAGTTGGGCCAATTTTGACCAATGGGCCAGAATTTGAACACTGAAATGTTTGTGGTAAATATCTAAGCTGGTTGGTTGAGAGGTTTTTTTAGCGGTTTGATCCCATGAAGGTGCAAATTTTGACCCCAGAGCTGTCATTTGAACAAACTTGTAAGTGGTCCACAGGCCACTATCTTATACTCACCTGTAGAATTTGCAAGTTCTGAGGAAAAGATCGTTTCACTTAGCAACTGTCTGGACTGGGGCAAAAGGGCACATTTCCTTAAAGGGTGGGGGGCAGGGGCAAATGTCCAAACAGGCACCAGAGTAGAACCACTGACATTCTGTAGGCTAGCTGGAAAGCTTCCCCACGTGAAAGAATGCAAAGTCCCAGTCAGATTCCAACCCAGAGAGGCAAGAGGCAAGTGGTTTGAAGTCAACTATTCGGCCAGGGCCACCCGTTTCGATGCATAGTACATTACAAAATGTAGTATGTATGGAAGATAGACAAATAGGGTAGTGGGAAGTGTTCTTCCATGTGCATTAAACATTTTCAAATTCTTGCAAATGCTTACATTTCTTTAAATCAGCACAGTGCAATTCACTATCAAGTTAGTTGCAAAAATATTTACAATTTAAATGCATGAATACAAGTGAAATCTGGTTCTTTATAGTAATAAAATTGCATTTCACTTTAAAACAGTATGGTATAAATAAAATTATATGTTCATACAGAAACATAAATGCTATTTTATCATCGAACACTAAAGAACTAGGTTCTAATTTTGTCAATGTGTTTGGAGTTTTCTACTGTCCAACAAAATGTGGTCTCAATTTTAATATTTGGAATTCAAAAGTAATTCAACATTGCACAACTTGATACATAACACATTTTATTGTTTTTATTACAAATTTACCAATATTAAAACAACACATCACTACTTAGTTTCAAAATATACAACATGATTCTTTAATTAAACAGTCATTGTGACATAACATCATTATGTCTGTGTCACACATTCAATCATGTGTCACACATATAATTTGTGTCACATTATTAATCATTTAAATCACTGATGAACACACTAAATCATTGTGTCACACGTTAAACCAGTGTGTCATACATCAGATCAGTGTGTCATACATTTAATCAGTGTTACACATTAAATCATTTAAATAAATGGGCCACACATTAAATATCTGTGTCACACATTAAATCACTGTGTCACACAGTGACACATGGCAGTGGAAGCACAATGGTTATTAAGAATGACAAATGCTTTTTCTTGCTAATTTTAAAATAGTTATTTGGTTTTTGGTATACCAGCACATAAAATTTTTCTTGATTAATGAAACCCATAGATGTTCTCTCTAAAAGATTATCTCCAGCAGCTGGAACCAGCTTAGAGCTGTCAAACATAAGAGAGACTCCAAGCTGCTGGATCTAAAGACAGGATCATGTTGAGGCTTATGATCTCAAATTATCTCGAACAAGTGTACATTTTTTTCTTGGATACATATAATTACCTTGTCAAATGTCAGTAAATTTGCAACATGCTTATTAACACAAATAATTTTACATCTTAATAACAACTCACAATATATATGTTTAATTATAAATTTTGAAAATTTGAATCTGATGAAAATTGTTTTTTTGTTGATGCTTTTCAAGGACTATAAGAATTAATATAAAAACTTAAAACTGAACATGTCTTCCTTAAACATAACAAATTCTTTTGTTGTTAACTATTTAAAATATGATCCTTTCTGGCATGTCTTACATTTCCACCTTCCTCAACTTCAGGTCTAATACCTTAGAATAGTCCATTAATCTGTCTTAACAAACTGGTATGTTTGTACGAGTCGACATACTTCTTTGATACCATATTAAGGTCAGTGAAACCTTACGTATATGGTCTGTAACATTATCTAATTCTATAATTGTTCAAATAATCCTAGTAACACCTAAATCATGTCAATCATCAGCTTTCCGGAACAGCCGGTGCTTTGGGGATCACCATGGAGGCCGCCTTCTGTGATAATGTACGCTGATCAGCCGTTGTATATATGGAGTGATCTTCCTGCCAAATTACCTTCTTCTCGTGTGACTTCATGGCGTCCTTGACTTTCTCGTCTATCATAGCTTCCGTTAGAACACCGGATTCTGAAGCATACGCTGCAGCCTGAAAACAACAGTTATCACAGTCAATATCCCTACCTTATGAACAACTGTATGTTAATTAGACATATCATTACTGGACGAAAAGTCCTTAAAACAACTTTGGTTATGTAATAATTTGAAAACACCTAGATATACATGATATTAATAAGTTTGTAAATATTACTATTAAGGGTTTATTCTCATGATTGAGTATTCATCTTATTTTTACAAGTAATGAGCCAGTCAGGTGATGCTCTGGATTGCTCCTTGCCCAATCCCCACCACCCCACCCTTCCCTATAATACAGTGGCAATACAAGGGGTAAGGATGCAAATCCTCCAAATTTGACCTCCATCCTGATCCAGCTCTACCAGATCAAAGCGATGATTTTGTTATGGCAGGAAAAATAGCAATGGAATATTCAACGAAACATGCGAACAGTATACTGCCTGTCCTCTTGGCAGCATTTACCAAATTCAAAGTACCTGTTATCTAACTTATTTCCCTGTGAATTTGTGTGGGTGGGGATCATTAGTGTGACATTATTCTATTCAAATGGTGTATTATTCTGAACTGTACATCAAATCCAGTCTTACCTGCCAGCCAACACCTAATTTTGAGATTTCTCTACCAGATAATCCTTCAATTTTTTCTGCTATTTCTGTACATTTCTTGTCGAAGTCAAACTCGGCCACCTTCAATCTCCTTTAATAAAAACATTGACACAAAAACTTCATTATCATTGTAGGCACAGTAAAAATGTCATTGTCATATAACAATAAAGCAAGTCTCAGACCCACAGATAAAATTATAATAAATAGGAGGATTGATTACATATGCTACAATCTATGCAAAAATCTTTCTTTGACATATCTTTACTACCAAATAAAAACAAAACTCAACAAGAGGGCCATGATGGCCCTGAAGTCGCTCACCTGTATATAGGCCCCCGGAGAGGGGCCATTTTAAACCCCAGGGCTTTTATTTGAACAAACTTGGTAGACACCCATTAGAAGATGATTCATGCTAAACATCTAAGGTCTAGCTCATTGGGTTTTTTCAAAGAAGATTTTTTCAAGTCTTTTCTTTACACATATAGTTAAAAACAATGACACACCTGGGGCAGGGCTTTTATTTGAACAATCTTTGTAGACACTTACTAGAAAATGTTTCATGCTTAATATCTAAACTCTAGCTATTCCGGTTTTTTCAAAGAAGATTTTAAAGTTTTTGCTATACACATAAAAGGAAAATCAATGTCCCCCAGGGCGGGCCAATTTTTACCCAAGGGCTTTTATTTGAACAAACTTGGTAGACATCCATTAGAACTGGTTTCATGCTAAAAATCTTAGCTCTAGTTCTTTGGGTTCTTTAAAAGAAGATTTTTAAGTTTTTACTATATGCATATATAGGGAAAATCATTGACCCCCTGGGGCGGGGCCAATTTTGACCCCAGGGCTCTTATTTTAACAAACTTGGTAGACACTCACTAGAAGTTGTTTCATGCCAAATATCTAAGCTCTAGCTTTTTGGGTTTTTTAGAAGAAGTTATTTAAAGTTTTTTTCCTTTTGGTTGCCATGGCAGCCAGAGTTCTGCATGGAATTAAATTCTTTGAACAATTTTCAAAGGTGACCACCAAAGGAACATTCCTGTGAAGTTTGGATGAAATTGGATTAGTGGTTTATGAGGAGATGTCATTTAAAGTAAAGGTTTACGGACGATGGACGGACGAAAAGCAATTACAAAAGCTCACCCTGTCACTTTGTGACAGGTGAGCTAATAAAAAGTTCAGGCAGCATTATATGAAATTGTTTATAATTTTATTTTCCAATTCAGCTAGAATTGCAATAAACTTTCCCTTTTTCATGCAGAATTACAATAAAATATCCCCTTTTCATGCAGAACTACAATAATGCAGAATTACAATAAACTATCCCTATTTCATGTTTTAAACTGTCTATAATATATTTTATCAATCTGTTGCCTGGATATACACACTAATTTAAACTATTGTCTTTAAGAATAGACTTCAAAAATTTGATATATCCTTTAACAATTCTCAGAGGCAAATAATTCTAAAATTGTCCTAAAACATCAGATTCCCTGCAGCAGTTACTTCCCCTGATCAGTGCAGAAACCTTTGCCTATATGTTTTAGTTGCTGCAGATCACAGTATATTTCTCACTTTTATATCTGAATTTTAATTCTTTCTATCTCATTGTTTTAATTTTCACTGATTCTTATGCTGCATTATATATTACATGTTAAAAAAAGAGTATTTTGTAAAATTATTATAATAAATATTTTTCACAATAACCAGATGCCCTAAAACCGTGTATTTTAGTCACATGATTCACTTATTGTTTACAGTGGTGGCGGCAGTTAAAGCTAGACGGCATGCAGTAACTGATGCGAGAAATATGGAGAGCATATCATACATCAAGCTTACCCTTTAGCCTCAAATGCTGGTTGGAGAACATATTTATCAAAGTATTGTCGTACTAATCTGTTACGCTCCTCTAGATTTGGTAGAGAAAATTCCACCATCTCGTCTAATCTGTCATTTATAGCCCAGTCAAACTGTTCCGGTGTATTACTGGCTAAAACTATCATAAATCTGCAAAACAAATAGTGGTTGTTTTCTTTTTTTTTTATTTATTTACCTTAGATTGCCTATGCTATTGATATTTGGCAATGTAAGCCTGAACATCTCCATTTTTGACTGTGTCAGTATTTTTGCGAGAATTTTGGACAACAATCTTTCTTCACTAAAATTTTACCCAATTGATTTCACACTTAAATTTTTAAAAAAAAAAGTAAATTTTTACATTTTTTCCCTTCTATAAAAAAATTTCAGTAATAGAAAAAAGCTTAAGGTTTAATGCCCAAAATTTTAGACACATTTCAAAACAAATAAACTCTAAAAAACCTTTTTTAAATTTTCAGAAAATTAAAAGACACAAGAAAATCAAGTAACGCTTTTAAAGGAGGGTTTACATGTTAAATTGTTAACCAATACAGTATTTGTCAAATAATTCCAGGAATCCACAACAATTTTTATCTCATATTTCCATTCATTTCTTTATTTTCAAAGACAATTCACTTTTTGTACTCCGAGTGATTTAAATTTCCGACAAGAAAGAAGTTAACTTACTTGTTTGATTGTTCCCCTGTTCTGTATAAAAAGGCATTTAATGTTGCACGCATATCCTCACTTATCAATTCCTGAAAATACATGTCTTTATTTATAACTATCAAACACAAATTATGAATCTCCCAAAAAGTACAAGTCCCTTTCAATCATTCACAGAGGGGAATAAAGCCTTTTTAATTTCTTTCTTTTTTTCTCTTACATGGGTTTTAGGTTGCTCCAACACAGTATATGTCATATATTAACTGGTGGAGGGAGATCTTAGTAAAACCCAAATAAAACCACCAACATTCCGTAAGCTAGCTGAATAGCCTCCTCACATGAAAGAATCCAAAATCACTGTCAGGATTTGAACCCACAGCAGTGAAGGGTCAGCAACCTTAACCACTCTGCCACGGACACCCCACTTGTTTTTCTTTCAATGACAATGATTTACGATATGTCTTGCATGCATATTAGTCATAAATACATTGTAACAACTCAAAAAATCACAGGGATTTTTTCCAGGATTTTGGGAACACGACCCATACCCATGGAATTGGGAACTTCAGTGGTGTTCTGTTAAAAAATTGGGAAAAAATGCATGACTGAAATTTTGCAGTGATTAAATGGATGCAAACAATTACTGTCTATGATGGCATCTTCAAAGATTTAAGCACTATTACAGTGAAGAAGCCCTTATTTGCAAAGATTTTAGAATTTTTATTCAATATTTTTATTTTATACTTTCAATTGGGAATTTTTTCCTGTGGATTGGGAAAATAATATACTATTTTCAATTGGGAATATGACCCAAAAACGACTATAAAATAAGCAAAAATAATCCCTGAATCGTATCAATATCTCTTTTTTTTCTTAATCATCTGACCTCCACCTGCAAAACAGTTGAACTTACAGCAGTCATAGAAGGAAATGTCTGCCTGCATTATTCTTACACTCTGACCATGTGCTATACTGTTGAATACTTAGATTTGTAATGCTCTGACAAGCCTGTTACCAGAAATGAATAGGTAAAAATAAACCCAGGGAAGGACGGTATATAAACATAATTTTTGTTAATAATAAACTTGATTGAAAATGTAAAATTTTTATCATACCCTATTTCTTTTCCTTAAAAATGCATCAGCTTCATCCACAAATAATAACACACTGAAAAGAAATACCATAATTAAAACCAATAACTAAACTGCATGTTCTTTCAATAAAAATTGTTTCAAATTATCATGCTATTTTTTTTATAAAGAGCTGTGTGATGATTATAAACAGTATTAGGCATGTTGTTATTGATCAAATGGTAGAAGTGTGTGTTTCCTGCAATAAAAGCTTAGGTAACTTGACACTTGTATTAATAACTGCAGACTTCCCGAAATACGTCGGTCCGACGGACATGTCCGATAAATTTTGATCAGGTCCGACAATTTTTTATTCCGACTGTCCGGCTTTTATCCAAGCCGCATGTATACAAAATGGCGTCGCTAAAGGTGCCAAACCTGGGAAAAACCGAAAATCTACGTCAGAAGAAGTGCGCAGAAACAAGCAATAAAAGGATGAAAAGAATAGACCAGAGACGAAAATTTATGAAAAATGGAAGCAGAACCCATGAATCATTGGTGTATGCAGGGAGGAGATGAAAATGCGCTGTACGGATTGTGCCGATTTTTACGGCGAAAAAATAAAAAACAAAAAGTGTCTTAGAAATACAAACACAAGTTTTTCTTTGATTTTGATCAATTTTATTTGGTCTGACAGATTTTGTTTCGGTCCGACAGATTTTCATGGTTTGTCAGACCGAATGTCTGACAGTTTTTTCAACTTTCGGGAAGTCTGAACTGGACACTTATAACGATCACGAGCAATAGTATTAACTTAAAACAAGGGTTCTATGTAACAATTAAGTGTATTTTCACCCTTTCCAGAACATGTTTGGGTCAGCAAAAATCGGAAAATTTGCCACTAGCCAGTAGTGTTTTCAAATTAATTGGTCAGTTTGGCCAGAAAAACAAGCCATAAAAACAGATGAATGATTATATCATATCTATACAGTAACTGAAGAAGTTTTAGATCCCACTTAGGGGAAAACAGGCACTCTTTATCAGACCGAAATTATATCAGGGAAAAAACTGGTTACTGGAAGACATTTATATTGGTCTCATTGAAAAACAAGTTGTCTCACCCTTTCCGACTAGTCTGTGCCCAGTCAAATACTTTATGCATTGCACTAACTCCCTCTTTACCCATCGGTGCTACATCACCTCCTGTCATAATGGCATAGTCCATACCAGAATGCTTGGCTAAATTCTAAAATATTAAACCATCTATATATATATAAGCATGAAATTAGTCATAAACCAGAAGTTCATAAACTTGGTTTGTTTGATTTTTATGCTGGTTTCAAAACAAGTTTGGTTTTTTACTAAATTCTGAAATATTAAAATGTCCGTATAACCATGAAATTAGTCATAAACCAGAAGTTCATAAACTGGGTTTGATTTTCATGATGGTTAAGTTTCAAAACAATTTTTGATCATATCTGATAATCTCTGTAGTCCATCAATTTATCAGGCATTCCAGGATAACTAACCAGTAATTACCTATTTCTCAGCCAGTGACCAAGACCAATTATTAATCCTACATGATTTCTGAAATAGTGGTGAGAGACAAATGACTATTAGACTTCTGCTTATGTCAGAGATAAATTGTCATGCAGAAATCAGAAATCACTAATGTCTTTGAATATTGTTCACATGTCTTATTTTCTTAAAAAAATGGTGGCTCATCTAGAGGCATGCAACTTTAAATAATACAATAATTACCTTGGCAAACATTGTTTTTCCTGTTCCAGGTGGTCCGTACATTAACAAGTTTCTATAGAAACCATTGTTCTTTTTAGTATGACTTGTTGCTATGGCAACATCTCTCAATCTCTCCTCTAATTCTGGCTGCAAAGAAAATCAAATTCAAAAATTCAAATGAACAAAAGTTGTAAACCCAAGAAAACATACAGCATACCATATTTATATAAAGTTTTTAAAACTATTCATCACTTTTTTAACATTTATCACAATATTTTTTTATCTCTCCCTCTTACACTTAGTAATTATGCCTTTTTGTGATCCGATGAGTGTATTCGTTTCCTTTCTTGCCACCCATTCCCAGTGGCATATATACCTATATTGTCATAAAATGCTGTAAATAATTATCAATTACAATTTAAAACTTGACTGTTGAATGATTCGCAGTCACCAACTAAATTTTTCTGATATTTTGATAAATATTTCCAAAATACCTTATAAGAAAAAACGTACCAACGTTTTGTGAAACACACAATTTACATATGTTTAAAAGTAAGTGTAAAGGTACAATAATAATTACAATAATCATAGAAATGTTCGCAAAACATCACCTACCTTTAATATAATTCCACTTAATACTTCTTCTTTCTTTTTAAATATTTTCTTTCCGATCTGTAAATAATAAATAACAAGAAATGAAAAATATTTTTACCAATTCACATATATATCAGGGATGCCAACAGACAATTTGGAAAAAAGAGGAAAATTAAACACGAGGGGTCATGGGGGCCATGTAGGCCCCCAATGCAGGTCCAGGGCAGAGCCCTGGTGGCAGAGCAGGGGGCGAAGCCCCCGGAAGCTCCTGGGTTTTCATCCTTTTCAGATGGTCTAAAATGCATTTCCTTTTAGTGCTTTATCAAATATTTTCATTAACTGATATTGTATTATTTTGACTGGCAGTAACAAAGTTAAGGCAGACTTTAATTTCAATAAAATTAATCAGTATCTATAACTGTAATATATACATCTTGATGATCTACCCTACTTCTTCTTTCCATCAACAACAAATCCTTTTCAGATGGTCTAAAATGCATTTCCTTTTAATGCTTGATCAAATATTTTCATTAACTGATATTGTATTACTCTTGCTAATCGGCTGACTTTTTGTTTTTCTTCAACTACAGAAAGACGCTACGATTGGTTGGTATATTTAACGCTATCGTTCATTGGCTTACTATAATAGCGACAATAACTGAACATACCCGAAAAGCGGTACGGTCTAAATATTTACGGTACAGTCTAAACATTTACAATCGGCAGACAATAGACGGTAGCAAACTCGGTGAAAGAGACCCCCCTCCCCCAAATTTTCTCCTCGGATTTAAATTGTTCTCAAAAGTGGTTCAATGACCTCAAAATCCGCAGAAAACTGGCATCCCTGCTATATGTATTCACATGAGCATATGTAAATAAGCTTAATTTTCATTCTGCTTTCTTGAAAATGACATGAACAAAAACAAAAAAATATTTGCTGCACCAGCTTTTAGAAATACAAATTAAAATATACAAACATTACAGAGCTTTTTACAGCTAAATGTAATTAATCACTGAAATCTCCTCAATTTACCAAATAACGCATAATGGCTTTATTTTTCTTAAAGATTATCCAAGGTTATAAAGACTTTCTCTAAGGTTTAGGTCAGATCTCAAGGTATTTGATTGGTCAGAGGCTGCCACTGAATGTACACTGACCAATGAAAATCCAGAGATTTGAGATGGAACTCAGATAAAAAGTTGTTATATATAACCTTGGGGCCAACTTCTGTAAAGCCTTACCTTGATTGGATGTTTCAGAGTTTCTAAGACAGTAATTCTGGAAGTTTCTCTAACTAGTGATGGTTTACCAAGGCGAGCCTCTGTGTACCGGGCAGCTACACCTATACTGTATTTGGCACCATATATACCAGCAGCTGCCAGCGTGATCCCCGCAGCCTGTAAACAAACACTTACATCTTAAAATCATAATTAATGTTTGACTATAAAATATTTCATGCAATAATTTTTTCTTACTAAAAGTATTTGCAAAATGGATAAATGCACCTCAGCAAATACATCTGAAGGTTTAACAGAAACTGTTGTTCATTAAATAACAATTTATTCTAATAAATAAACAAATATACAATTTTGAAAGTATAAAATCTGTGACAGATACTCATGTTAAGGAGTATCTAGCCTGTTCAATGGATGACTGAATTCATATATTAAATTAAAATAGTGAAAAACAGAATCCCTAACAAACACCATTTACCGCTAATTTGAAAATGTTGTAGGCTCAGCTTAAGGCTGAGCAGGGACTGTAGTGGTAAATGCGAGCTACTGTCCATGCCCACTAGCACCTGGACCCAAAGTGTTTAGCTGTTGTCACCAGTATAGAGCCAGGACAGCTTGCAAATCTGAACAATCTGACAAGACTCTATACAATTGGTTGACTAACTTCAAATTTTGACCTTTAAATATCCCTATTTTGTTAATGGAACAGTTCCAAACATGACCAGATGGACAAGTTTAGCAAGTGTTAATACATGATACAGTCCCTTACAAATAGATAATTGACTTACAGTAGCTGTCACTTTGTCCCAGTCTGATATAAATGCTTTAAATCCTTCCCCTAGCACAGCTCCTGCTGTCCTGAAAACATGACAAAATACCTTGAAAATACTTTTTCACTTTATATTATAATATTAATTTTGCGCTTTGAAAATTAGTTTTTACATCTCAAAATTTAAGAAAAAAAGGTTAAATTGTCTAACTGGACAGCATTTTTCTCCTGACCTTTTATTCTCAGGGCTGAGATCATTACAAAGTTCTTACTTGATGCTTTTTTTTAAAACAATGCCTGACACTATTTGACTTCATCAATAATTCATAAATATAGGTAGAAAAGACAAATCTAGCATCAGAGATTACAATCTTAATTACAAAAATTCTCCTTAATTTTCTTTATTTTTTTTCTAATCAAGCCCGGTCCTTACTTGATAGATTCCAGTCTTGTTTTCCTATCTTCCTGTGCCCGCAGGCGTATTTGTTCTTTTAGAATATCCTGGTTCTCTCTGTCTATTTTAGCTTTTCCTCGTAACTCTGCCTCTATTCTTTTCATATCATTCTTGTGGTTAAGTTCTGCCTGGTACTCCATACTCCCTTTTGTACATAAAAAAAACCCATTAAATTTTGAAACTGAATATCATGAGTAATTGTATTCTACAATCAATATTAACCAATGCTACAAAGAAAAAAATTTCCTTCAGTATTAGGTCCAATAATTGTACAGTTCGTGACAGTAAACATGTCTGTTTATTAAGTTGAAACTGTAACAAAAGATGTTTATTAATATGTACAGACTATACTGGTAATGTTGACTCCCATCTATACTCTACCTCCACCCCTTGTGCAGCTAGCACATTTAAATTCAGGTTTACAATACATCTGTATTGCATAACATTAATCAACTTGAAGCATTCTCAGACACTGATTTTGAAGAAAATATGTTAGTACATATTACAGGCATTACTTATTCACATCATAATTGTTCTTAACCCTCAACCAGCTGACTTTGTGTAATGGATTCCCCCCCTGCTATGAATTTGGAACATTCCATTTAATTTTTAAGGGATTCCAGTACCAAACTACAAGATGGATTTATTTACATTACCTCTCTTCATTTGTTCTTGTTTCTGTACAGACTCTTCCTGCTTCCTTAAGTTTTCTTCATTCAATCTGGCCTGAAATATTGTATACATACTCAATATGCAGAATATTTTGAAAACAAAAGTAAATTAAAAGCTAAATGAATTTAAAAACATAAATGTTAAATTTCTAGTAGTTCTATTATTCCATCTTTAAAGACTTCTTTTGCCTGGTTCCAAGATATTAAATCTCTGTAAACTACAGAGAGTTGCACATTCCATTATTTGTATACGGAGATAAGAAAACATTGTCTTTCCATTTGAGGAAAATGTAAATAAAAATGTTTTGCAAGTCCTGAAGTGTAAAGCTCATAAATGTGAATGTTTTTATGTACTTTTATTTTTATTTGAAGACTCGCAAAGAAATATTGTCAACAGGGTTTTTATTTATATTCTTGTATGTTAAGTTGCAATATCAAATTTGTTTGCCAAGCAATAATTACTTTGTATATATATATAGAAACAATACCTGCTGTGCTAACTGGTCATCATATCTTTTTCTAGCTAGTTGGTCCTGGTACTGTGACTTTTGTTGACTCAACTTTGTTTCTTCACGTAAAGTTTTACGTTTCTCCTCCTCCATTACTCTAGCCTGCTCCAATTTCATTTGTTCTATTTGGCCTTCCATCTCCTGTAAGTCAAGTTGAATGAGAATTAATTTTGTTAATCCTGTTATTTATTATTGGTTGATGGATTCTGCTCAACAGACTTCATTAATAGAATGCCAGTTCCTCAAGTCTTAAGCCATCTAAGTTCTGTTTTGGCATGACAAAAGACCATGTTTTTTAAGGTCAAACAATATCTTTATATATAAATGGTTGATATAGATCCCCTCAGACTCTGTATATTATTTTAATCAAACACCCTTATCTGTGTCGTGCAATTAAAACAAATATCGCAGACATAAATGGGTTGCATAAGAAATCAAAAACAAAAGTTAATAAATTACACAAGTGAAAATCTTTCTTCCATTTAACAAGGCAAGGAAAGATAATCCATAACCAAGGTTTTCAAGGTTTATTTGAATAAGTCAGGGCCAGATCTGTTTGTCCTTTTATAGCAGGGGCTGTTACACAAAAAAATTGAAAATTCTTTACAACAATGCATTTCACCCAACCCTCTCTTAAATTCAATTTATATCAAGATTGTCCTTCCACTTTTGCAAATATACTACATTTTTCCCCAAACTTAAGGGAAGGGCTTCTATACACGTGGGAAAAGGCCTTGTTACCCTCATGCAATCAATCTCGATCTCAACTAAATCTTCACTCAATGGGTCTACTAACAATAGCATTTTGTTCCTAGACATTTTATTGGTTATTCCTCTTAGTACACTATTCATATTTATCTAATTTCATAGCCATTCCATGCTACAAATCTGACACTGTTTTTAAATCTTTAATAAATAGTATGAGATCAAGATAAAGTATGAAAATTAACAAAGGGCAAAAACTCAAAAAATAAGAAATGCAGAGTAACAGTTCTTGGGCACTGCACTTCTTCTTAATGAGATCTATCATCCTATGAAGTTTCATGTCCATAGCTTTATTACTTCAGGAGAAATGGCCTGGACAAAAATAAAGTATGAAAATTAACAAAGGACAATAACTCAAAAAATAAGAAGTGCAGAGTACCGGTTCTTGTGCACTGCACTTCGGGTCATTATAAGAAGCATGCATACCAAGTTAGAAGTCAATCCGACTTATAATGACTGACTTATGCTCCGGACAAGCTTAAGGGGACGCCAACACCGACGATAAAAGTAACCCCTATATGTCGCCTTTTTCAAGGCGACACAAAAATGAAAGTAATCAAATTTTTTTTTAAACTTCAACTTTTTTGTCTGTCAATTAACTGATCAAAAAATGGTATATAAATTTACAGACTGTTTGTAAATATTGGACCATAATATCATGAAATCCTAGACCTGATTACATCAGCTATAGCTTTATATACTTTGATGCATCCAGAAACTGGTTTTGCATTTACCTTGATTTTCTTCTGGTTTTCAATCTGTATTGTTTGCTCCTGCATCTTTGATAATTCCAATGCATCTTTAGCATGTGCTACAAGAGACAATAAATTATTCATTTCATAATAGGGTATCATTATAAAACAGCAAAATTTAGAAGGAGAAGAAAAATACTTTTGTCATTTTGTAAACATTTTCATGAAGGCATCCAGTAATAATTGGAAAATACTAGTCTCAAGGTTTGAGACTGTGTAACCATTAGGGCCATCCCTAGGTTTAAAGTTGTACGTAAACCATGCAAATTCTAGCTGGTTTGAAATTAATGCATATCATCAAAGAAAGGTTTGGCTTGTTCCCATACTCATCATACTGTAAGCATTTTTGTTCCTGCATCTGATAAGGAAAATCGAACTTGTATATCTTGTTATAAAGAGTAGGGAGAATAAAATATTAAGTAAACTTTTAACCTGTGCATTGACACTCATGTGGGCCAGCCCTGTACTCAAATGGATAGAAAAAATGAAAGTTACATCATTCGTAAATTTTGCAAATGTAAAAACCAGATAACATTTGAATGATATCAATTGCATCTTTTCAACCATTAGACTTTAACAACCACCAAACATATAATTCTAATAAAGCATACCTGACTGTGATGATATGTCTTGAAACTTTACCAATGACCTTCACCTGTGCGGAACTTTATTGCTGTGACCTTTTCACAGAATAATTAGATACGGTTTTTGCAAACAATGGCAGTGTAATAAACTTAAATTATTTTAAGTCACGGCAAAGTATTCATGACATAATCACCTGAACGCTCCAAAGTCTTAGCTGCCTGTGCGGCTCTTTCAAGGGCTGCAGAGTCAAAAGTGTACGCATCTGAACGCGATTTATCCGGTGTTTTGCCATCGTTTCCCCCACTGTCACCGCCGGATCCAGGCGGTGGTGGAAAGCCTGGTGGTAATTGGCCACCACCCTGGCCTTTGTTCATTCCAAACAACCAAGACATGTCCAGTTATGTAAAGTTTGTCCTTTGACAGTTTCTCATGCAATCAATATACACCGGTGTTTTTAACGGAAGTCGACCACACGTGTGAGCGGTGCAGTGTAAGATAAGTTATATGTGACGTTGTGAGACTATTTACGGTTGAACGGTACTAAATATGTAACACTGTCATGTATATACTTATCAAACCTGGGACTAAAGAGTAAAGATAGCCTGTCAAAAATTTGTATAAATAATTATATTATAGTTGCATACGACTTCTGATGGAGTTCACATGGCTGTATGCCATTTTCTTGTTCATATAAATGTAGCTGCATGCGATGGTCTTTATTTACTGCATACAGTTGTTCACATACATGTAGACACTGTTTTATGGTGTTCATATAACTTAATTAGGCATTTGTGTTCATATGGCTGAATGTGGTATTTGAATGTGTTGAGATGGCTGTATATGGCATGTGATTATGTTGATATAGCTGCCTGCAGTTTTTATTGTATTCATATAGCTGCAGCTAGGTGGCATTTGATTGTGTTCATATAACTGAATGGGCATCTGATGGGGTTTACATATAGATGCATATGACTTCTGATTGTGTAAATTACATAGCTGCATGCCACATTTGATTGTGATCATATACCGCAAGATAGCTTCTCAGAGGTGTTCATTTAGATTCATGTGTTTTTCTGTGTTTGTAATGCATTATGCCATTATGTGCCATCTGAAGGCGTTTATATAATTGAATGCAGCATCTGATTTGGTTTATATAGCTGCATACAGGGTTTGATGGTGTGCATATGGACATTGAATAACTTTGTAATGATAATGTTATTTTGCTTCATTGATCATTTGAAAATAAAGCACAGGCTTTCTACTAGTGTGTGCTCTTGAAGGCCAATGGATGTTGAATTCTTAAACATGAGGCATCACAGGGACCTGGCAGTGTTGGGATAGTGTAAAAAGTAATTCTTGAAAAAAAATATACTGTAAATATAATATAATATTATATATATATATTATATGTACAGTACATGTATAGTTTTTTTCTAGAATTACTTTTTACACTATCATATATATGTATAGTATATATATATATATATATTTCTATAATTACTTTTTACACTATCCAAACACTGTGCTGGATCCCTGTGTAAAGAATGTTAAATAATTACAGAAAATAATTTTATCAGAAGGAAAAGGTGTGGTCTTCTTCCAGTCCAATTTACATTGTACATGTGGAAATTCACCTTTAATATCTTTTAAATCTGTCAATCAAACTTTTAAACAATCTCATAAAGAACTTCAGACACTGAGGAATTTCCATGTCTTATGATATGTTTTGAAACTATGTGTATCAAAATCTTGAAAAAAAAAATAGTTAAAATACAATATTTTCTTCTATATTTTTTTAAGAATCAATTACATCGGCATTAATTTAATCATTGGGTATTCGGTGAATGATTAATTTAGCATTATTGAATCTATGATAGAAATACAATTTTTTATTGCTTATAATTCATACAGAGCTTGTTCAAATTTTGAAATTTATCTCATTGGGTTTTACATCCCACCAGCACTGTAAAGGTCATATAGCTACTTTCCAGATTTTACTAGGGGAGGAAGACCTAAGATGCCCCTCCATACATTATTTCAGGCACAAACGCCACCTTAGTAGAACCACCGTTGATGTGCTAGCTAGGATGCTTCTTTACATGAAAGAATAAAAAATCCCTTGCAGGATTCAAACCCAGTGGCGAGGACCAAGTTGTTTGAATCAACAACCTCATTTACCACCGACTACCCATTGACTCAAGTATGTTGTCCATTAATACTCTAGTTATATTTCAGTTACTGTTACAGTTTTTGACACTTAAACCATGACATTCTAAAAAGGTACTTTTGTGCTGGGGTTATAATCACAATATTACTCTTAACCCATTACCAGATATATACGCCTTTCTACGCCTTTTTCACCGCCCTTTTTGCTTTCTCAAATGGTGAAAAAATGCCTTATTAAGGCCCCCAAACACTTGTTTTTGTTTGAGAAATGTTGTTTAAAAAATTGACCACTTTTTCGGCGCGGCCCCACATCCAAAAGATACATCAGGGGGTTGCCAGAAGTGGGGGTTGAAGGGGGGCGGAGTCCCCCTCATCGCCAAGAAAATTTTGGACTTGTGGGAGGCGAAAAAAGGCCCCAGGTCGATCATAAGGTAACGTGTTACCAATGCTGAAAAGCCTTTGACTCTATCTCAATCCATTGAGAAGTGGCAGCACTTTGAAATCAATTTTGAAGGAAAAAATCAACGCAAAATAGTGATTTTTGGCAATTTTGAGATGTCCCCTAGTTGCCATGGTAACAGGAAATTTCAGATTGAGCATGTTGTTACAATGGCAATGGTCCAGTCAACATTTGTGCCAAGTTTGATTAGCATTGAAGCAGTTTTGATAGTTTTATAGCAACTTGAACTTGTAACGGGAGACTTTTCAATGAAAATAGCCATTTTCCACAAAATGCTCATGGGGTAATGGGTTAAGCAACATGCCAATTTTCATAAAAATGTTAAAATGTATTTAAGAGTCAAAAATTGTGAAGTGAACAAAGGAAATAATTTACATATTGCAAGCAGCACTTACATATGTACAATTCATGTAAATTACCAAAAGGAGGTCGAGGTCAAAATATGCAAAAATAGCCCATACTGTTAGTTTGTTTGTTTGATTGGGTTTTACGTCACACTATAGGTCATATGGCAAAGTTCCAGCTTTACTGGTGGAGGAAGACCTCAGGTGGCCTTCCATGCATTATTTCAGGCACGAACTGGCCCTGAGTAGATTCACTGACGTTCTGTAAGCTAGCTGGATAGCTTCCTCACATTAAATAATCCAAAGTCCCTGTCGGGATTCGAATCCACAGCGGTGAGGGGCAAGTGGTTTGAAGTCAATGACCTTAACCGCTCGGCCATGGATGCCTCCATACTGTTTTAATCATGCAGTAAAAATATGGTAATAAATAGTGCAAAATCAGTCATTAATCGCACATACTAATTAACATGTAAATAATTACTTGAATCTTTTTACTTGACTTTAAATCTTTGTACATTTTTTGCAAGTTTGATTTTCTTGAAATATTTTCGCTCATTTAGAGGATCGTAGGGTGACATTCCAGCATACTTAAGTGTAAATCAAAAAATAAACAGCAAAATGGTACAACGTAACATTTTTTTATTTTGTTTAAGAAATCAAGTATAAAAGAAGTCTGGCAGGTTATTATTATAGACAGAGATAGCATTATTGGCTTATTATAAGCACACTCCATAGACTGCTAATGATTACAATGATTATTTCAAACACCGTTTAGCTTTCGCATTCTTATAAGCCTCGGATTTATACCCAGCTTCATTGAACGCATGGCCATAGCCCGATTAAAGTGCCTCTGAGGTTTACCATCACTACCCTCATCATAATTAGCTTCCATAGACGTAATTACTCCAAAAACCACACCCATAATTAGAAAACAGAATTATAAAAGAGTGTGTACTGAGTAACTGAAGGATTGGGCGTCCCTTCCATGTCATGTAGAGATGTGCTTCCGCTCTTTGAAATCCTGGGTTCAATCGTAACGCCTGCTGAAAATGAAGACTAGCTTCTTTGATAATGACCGTTAAGCTTTTAAAATTTCACCAAGAGTAAAATGTTGATGCCAGGAGTTGTCTTTTCATTTGACTGCATGGCAAGAGATCTACGCGTGAGGGAAAATTGCATCGTCTAAATATTGAAGGTTAAACAAGATTCTAGCGAGATAGAGTAGAATATCTGGACTATTCGGTGAGATGGCTAAAGCTTTCCGGAAACATTCTATTGACAGTTGTGTATTTCCTCGTATTCTCCAGTAGTTTCCAATCTGACTGTATGTATAGGAAGACTTTGGTGTCTGAAAAAAAAAACACAAGCTGTAAACTTTCAATAATGAATATTTAGAAATCAACTTGATTATGAAACATTGTTTAAAAGGCACATTATGCCTCAGAAATATGTACTTATTTTAATTGTGTTTAATAATGTTTTTATAACAGATTAAGAGCATGTTAGATATTATTATTGGATAAGAGACAATCCGATCTGACCCACGATTCAGCACTTGCGATTCACAAATCGAACCACAAATCTTTTGTTGTCATAAAAACATGAACATCAATTCTGAAAACATGTTTATTTTTCTTTAAATAATACTATGCAAATATAAACTGGGTTAAAGGTTGAAAACGAGTCGCGCCAATATAAAATTCCACCAGCGAAATTTACTTTCAATGTTTGGAAATACATGTACTTTGATATTTCAATTGAACCAGAGAAAATTTAAGCAGTTTGTAAAACATGCCACGGTGAACTGACTTATTCTGCTTGTACAAGAACTTGTCTAATCACATGAAAAGACAAGTATTTCCAAGTTTCGCTAATTTTGGATTATTAAAAATAAAACCGTCTTCAATACATGTCACGTTATTATAAATCTATACATAGTGACTAAAAATATTGATTTATTTTCATGTAAAAACATTATAAGTGCTCAATAAAAATAAAGCGATTACTTTTTCGAATATACATGTACATGTTCGAGCATCATGGTACATGTTTGTTTACTTCATGTCTTTAATTGGCAATTTGTATTTAGGTAAACAACGCATAATTCATACTTAGTAAATTGTTGTTTTTTTTACTTTTAAAGTGTGAGAAATAGCGAATGTATAATAAACAAATAAGATCGCAATCCACGATCTCTGGGTTGACGAATATTCGTACTTGATTTTTCATTTTGATTCGTGATTATCTGAGTACTCGGATACTCGCCCTAGCCCTATTAGATATTGAACAACTGAAAAAAGTAGCGTTGAACATGCAGTGATAAGTCGGAAAAGGTTTCAAAATGTAAGCAAAGAAGTATTTTTATTTTCATACAAAATACTCATTCACTAAATATACCATTTAAATGCAGTGCAAAAATATGCAAAAGATGGCTTATGAACAGTATATGGCAAATGAATAATTTCCTTTAGATTTAGCATTTCCAAGACACAATGTGCCTTCAATGATTAAATATTGTTATTACA